GAGATGGCAACGGAGGGAACAGGCGGAAGGGTGGTTCCATTAGGTACCGAGAGTACATCAATTAAATCGAAGTCGAGTTGCCGAAGCTCGGGAACCTCGAATCTGTTCCGTACCGCCCTGATCTTCGACTTCCGACTTCCTTCCCTCTCTACTGTCATTCTCTGCAGTTTTCCGTCGATCGTCATCTTCATTGAAGCTGTGTCTTGATTTAGTTTCGTGTGAACACAAAATCGTCGTAATCAACGAACATTGGTTCAATATCCATAATCGACTGAACCGTTATTAAAATAGGTTGATCTCGCGCCTCTGAAACCAACGAATCGACGCGATCGCTGGTATCTGCGGCACGCTCGACGCGACGAACGACAAACCAGGTGCAATTTGATACGCGGCGAATAACACGTTGAATGCCGCACGATTTCATAGAGCAAAATACACTTAATGAAAAGATATAATATTAAATCATTCGACTGAATTGCATTGTTATTATTGCACGTTCTTCTAGCTAAATGTCACGAAATTAAGTAGCATTATTTGTAATATAGAAATGTTTCCAAATAATCGTCGTTTAACTGTTATAGTGTTAATAGAATTTTGCTTCGATTGTTTGTCTTCTTTGCTCGTTCCCCATAATCATCCAGTTAAGACAAAAGGCGCGAATAAAGTTGCTCGAAGAAACGGTATTTCAATTTCCCTGAACGTCGCGCTCCCGTGCAAGTATTCCCATCGCCGGTGTCGCAACTTCTCGAATTTTAGCATTTTACGGGGAAAACCGATCCGGCGAGGATCGATCCCGTAACGCGATACATTATGTAAAGGCGGGGCGATCGGTAAGCGTCGCTGACGAGCGTCCCCGCCGTTCTCCGTTCCTTCTTACGCTCCTGTGTCGAGAGCGCGAAAAGTGCCCTCGGTTCCGTTCGAGTGTCGAGGTTAGATACGATCGAGAGTGCGACGCCGCGGGACGAAACAAATTCTAGCTCGCGGGCCGTGCAGATATCGAGTGCCGCTCGCAGCTCGCAGGGTTCACGGTTCTACCGGTTCATCGAATATTATCGAATGTTGCCGTATCAGGTTGCCGCGCGGAAAGTTTCTCGGATACGGACGTTTGTGCGGTGCAGATATTTAGAGCCATAGGGAAAAGGAAAGTATGGTGCTCGGAAAATTGCGTGCACTTAATAACGACTCGGCTCCGTTCCGACCCTTTGTATTCCCCTCAATTCGATAATAGCTGTTTATCATTAGCGAAATGTATTCGATTATTTTCGTGGAAGGGAACGTTTATAATGGAATCGTCGATGGATCGTTCCTTTCATCCGCCACAAACGCGGTGTCCCTCCCTC